GTGTTGGTTCTAATTAGTTCGTCTAGTTTATTAATGCCTTGTTCGAGCCTATTTTTGACCAAACCACACGATACCTGATCAAGTTCCCTATTTGTGGACGTCGGTAGATTAAAACGTCTACCGAGTAAGCAACACATAGGAACAACATTATGAGAAATACAAATTTAAAAAATCAAATTTTATTAATTTGCTGAGATATAGGTATCTTGGTTGCAGTGTAGCGAGAAGACAAATGGCAAGAAGTCGAATCGTACGTACATTTTAGATACGAAGAGAAACCGGGTTTCAATGAATCTCCTTAGATAACATTGTTGTCCTCTTCTAGTGAGAGCAACCTATGAATCTCTTATTCGTGCACTTTTATAGGAAATAAAATTCCCCCTAACAATGTTATCTCAGTCGATTCATCGAAACCCAGTTTCTCTTCGTATCTACAATGTACTTACGGTTCGACTTTTTGTCATTTATTCTTAATAGCCTGATTCCTTCCAGCCCAACTGCATCCTAATTTTGGTAATTTTGCTTTTGGAATCATCGTTATGCCCATAAACTCTGTTCTTATGCACTTTATTACATTTTTCTGTCAAGATGTACTAATTTGGAATGCTCTCTTGTTGGAGTGATAGTAAGTCTCTCCACGCTTAATTGATGACGCTAACATTAGACACGATCCACTACTTATTTTAACTGTTAGGACTTTTATTTCAAAGTTATCAGTAGTTGATTGATATCAAGGCAGAAGCACAGGTGCTAAATTCATTAAAAAATAATGTGAATTGCGATTGGCCTGATTTGCCTTTACATTCATGCTTTTTATCCAACTCATTGGGACTAGGGCTCTAAGGCTTAGGAGATAACATTTTCTTCTTAATCTACTCGCCCACTATTTGAATTTTGATAGGAGTGTTGACGAGATGTAGGCTAAGTAGGGATTGAAATCCATCTTTGATTAGTACTGTCTCTCAGGTGATATAGAAAAGTGAGTTCAATGCAAATTGCAAGTTTTATTTTCAAATTATCTTTGGCGGACTAGCTATCAAGCTAAGAAAAAACACATGAACCTGGTACACCTCAACAACGCAATGGACCTTTTGAGTGATGAGTAATTATTCTTTTGTTTTGGGACTAAAGTTTATGGAACCCTCGACTACTCTGAATTTTCTAGGTATTTTTCATGTTCTTTTTACCAATAATTGTTTCACTTAAGTTATTTTTTGGACATATAGTTGACTGAAAAAATGGGTTGCAGGAGAACTATGAGATGCGTTCTTACAGATCATTGACTTTATTCCCGGCAGTGATAGAAAATAAGGCTACGATGTTGTCACTTCTATCAATAAATTGAGGATCCCTAAATTGGCTATATAATTTCTTTGCTATTTCATTAGATTTAAAACTCGGCTTTCTAATATCTTTGCTTTGTCTTAGTTATACTTCACTTCGCTAACGTCATGTTTTCCTTTCCTTTACATTTTGCACTCGTTTTTGATGCCTGTTTGCGCCTCCTCGATCCTATCTTCTAGATGAAATCAATGAAGAAGCTCCTCCTGGCCGTCACAAATCCAAACAAGTTTCGTGCTTGTGAGTATCTCATTCGTTACCATGAGCGTCGCAATGACAAAATCATTGTCTTTTCAGACAATGTGTTTGCTCTTAAATATTATGCAAAGAAGATGAACCGGCCTTATCTCTATGGCCCGACAACTCAGGGTGAGCGGATGCAGATTTTAAAGAACTTTCAACATAACCCGAATGTAAGCCCTTCTTTTGTGGTGCACTGAGTTTATATTATATTTTCTGCTATTTCCATTCACCTTAATTATAGATAGTCTGTATCAATTTAAGCTCAACAGCAATTACATAAGGTCGAACAAATCACTTTTTCATTTAATGGCATGACCAATGGCATATAATGTATCAGAAATTCCCGTATTGCCTTTTCAAAAGTACTTATTTTCCTCTCAAATTACCAAACTCCCCAAAATTACAAGTTTGTAGGATTTTCTTTCTTAGCGCTTTAAAAATGTCAGATACACCGATTACATTCAATCATTTCACTACAAACTATTTAATAGAGTATGGGAATGCAATTGTTATATTACCTCAGCTTCTATACCCTACTTTTATAGAACCCACGATAGGTTATAAATAAAAATTGTCTTACAAATGCTTCTTGGTTGGATTTTGGTTTTATCCATCTCAACATGTGCGCTGAAAAATGATATTTTCGGGTATCTGGAGACTTGCTAACTCAACGTGAATTTAGTAGCTCCGGCCAAAATTAATAAAAAAAATTGCAATTTCTTCAAATTATATCATTGATCTGGAAGGTTTCCTCACTTTTAGCTAAACATATTATATATTCCTCATATTACAGTATCTGAAGGCTGTATAGGAAAACTAGTCAATAAAACGAGCTTCAGATGAGGTCTAATTCTTTTTTATGAAGGTTCTAAGGCCTCAGATGATGCTATTTTTTACGCAAAGGTGATCCATCGGATCATTGGGTTGTCTATTAAAGTAGGAGCATATAAGCATCTAGCAACCAAAAAAGCATAATTTTTTTGACCTTAAGAGGATTCTTTTCCACAGATTAAGACCTCGACTGTAATTAATTTTATTATAATCACATTGTAATTTATCTGTAATTGGCTTGGACCTGAGAAACTACAGTACTATTCGGCTATCAATGGCACCCTTCACATTGATTGCATCGATTTACTATTAATTGTTTTGAGTTTTGTTTATCGATTTGCTTCCTACAACATCGCTCAAAATAATCGGGTTACCGTGGTCTTGATTTGACAGCTTTATTGCTTGAAAGGCCAAAGTAACTTTGGCGTGAATTGGCTCTAGTGTAGAGTATCTTCATTTTCTATCTACTCATAAAGCTCATCAATTCATAGCAAATACAATACTGATTAAAGCAGCAACTAGACATTATTCTTTTTCATGAATTACTTTTAGTTGGGCCAGACTACTCTAAATAAGCGTATTATTTTAATGCCAAACACTATACTAGGTCCTAAGGGAATTTATATCTTAATTTTAACCAGTTTTATCCTGACATTTGTGTCTTCCTGAAGATGAGTTGAGGCTAATCACAAGTAAGAGAAGACAAATACATACTCCACGCACCTTAACTCGCCCGCTTTTCCCCTTCATAGAATATAAGGCTCCATCTGCGTTTGGTTTTATAAACGGGAGTACTGCCAGATGTTATGAAAGCATTCAAAACTTTTCCTTGCCTCTTTCTAAGGCTAGTATAATACAAACCAATGCATCAAACAGCCTATGCACTTCGCTATGAGCACATGTGTGAGCTCTTAGGTGCAAAGGAATCTAGATTGCAACTGGATAGAATATGATTCCTTTAATCCCAATCTTACTTGATTTTTA